CCCAAATACATTACTAATTATATCCCTCAACAGGGCAAATAACACAATTTTCGTTACTGGTCTACTATAATGTCCATTTGCAGTTTTTACTTTAACATTTCGCACCCGTCCATCTCTTCCAGGATAGATTTCTGTAATTCTTCCGAGATTCCATTTTCCACGTACTGCATTTGGATCAGCTACTACAACAATATCATTCACCTGCACATTCCTTTTGTCTACATTCCACTTCTGTCGAGGAACCAACAAAGGAAACACATCTCTCATCCAGCATTTCCAAAACGCATTGACTATGTATTGAACAAATTCATGTCTCTCTCTTGGATTCTTTGTCTCACGAAATGGACCTTGTGGCACTCTGCTGGAAGCCCTTCCAAGCAAAACATCATTTGGACAGAGATAGTTGCCATCATCAGGATCATTTGGTACTCTTCCGATTGGTCGCTCATTTACTAAGTTAGCAACTTCTTGAAGGCAGGTGTGCAACTCAAACGGAGTGAGTCTTTGCTCACCAATAGCTTTCCTCAAGGCCACTTTGCAACTTTTAACCAGAGCTTCAGCACATCCATTCTGATGAGGAGCTAGTGGTGTGGTGAACCTCCATGTCACCTGTTGCTCTGCACAGAATTCTTTAAGTTTTGTTTCACTCCAGCCTTTCACCATCTCTCGAAGTTGTCTTTCGGCTCCTACAAACTGAGTACCGTTGTCACTCTGAATAGACTTGGGCCTTCCTCTAATTGCAAAGAATCTACGTAGGACTTGTAAAAACTCCATTGTAGAGCAGTCAACTGCTACTTCTAAGTGTACTGCTCTGGTGTTCATACAAGTAAAGATGACGCCATAGTGTTTTGTCGTTTTGTTTCTTCCAATTTTAACAACATATGGGCCGAAGTAATCACATGCAGTGAAATAGAAAGGTGGCGTAAATGGAGCCATTCTTTCAACTGGGAGATCAGCCATGAATTGAGTTTCAGTCTGGCGCTTGAGGATTCTGCAAGTCACGCATCTGTATTTGATAGTCTTTGCCAATCTTGTCACGCTTACAACCCAATATTCACTTCTGACTTTGGCAGCAGTTGTTGCTACCCCATAATGCCCTTGCTCATGTACATGCTGGGTTATCAAATACGATATGTAGTGGTCATTGGGCAACAGAACTGGATGCCTACGTTCATATGATAGCTTTCCGTTACAAGCTCTTCCTCCGACATGAATAATCTTATCCTTCTCAAAGATGCTTAGTGACTTGAACTCTCCTTCTTTTATTCTCTCATGAAGTGATTTTTGTGCTTCAAAGATCCAGTAACTTTCTGCCACCGCCAACTCTTCTGCAGATAGCGGGCCACCTTTGATTACATTCTTGGCTTTCAAGTTTGTAATGAATCTTAATATATATGCTGTCACTCGGATCAACTTTCTCCATTTAGAGAATTTCTTGTAATCAATACCCTCTGATTCTTTAACCATTAGCACAGTTTTCATTCTTTTCTTTTCTCTGTCAATTTCACTGACTTCTGCTTTAGGAACAGATTTTGGCCACTCTGCTTCTGGCAACAGTAAGAAAGCTGGTCCATTCTTCCAGTCACCTGCCAGACTGTTGACATTAATGCCTCTGGATATTTTGTCTGCTATATTGAATTCTCCTGGTATGTGGTGCCAATCTGATGGATCGGTTTGACTTTGAATCTCAGAAACTCTGTTGGCCACAAATGACTTGTATTGCCTTGACTGACCTCGAATCCAGCACAAGGCGATAACACTATCAGACAGGAATACAACTCGATCAAACTTCACTGTCATTTCTTCCTTAACAGTAGCACATAGTCTAGATGCAATGACGGCTGCTTGCAGTTCTAGACGAGGTATTGACAAATTCTTTAGTGGCGCTACACGAGACTTTGCAGCAATAAACCTTACTCCAACAGTTCCATTATTTGTCTCCCACCTAGTGTAGGCAACTGCACCAAATGCATCTTCTGATGCATCACAGAATATCACAAGTTCAGCTAACTTATTATGTAACTTGGGCATTAGACATCTGGCAAAAGACACACCATCAAGGCTCTCAATTTCAGTGAAGAATCTTCTCCATTCAGTTTTTTCTTCTTCACACAGGTCATTATCCCACCCAGTGCCACTCAGCCAAAGTTTCTGCATAAGAATTTTTCCTTTTATCAGAACTGCACCGGTGAATCCAATTGGGTCAAAAACTTTAGCCAGTTCACTTAACACCATTCTTTTTGTCAGTATATCATTTCCCTTGACTGAAATTGCCTTTACTTGATATTTCATCAGATCTGATTCTGGATCCCAGACTACACCTAAAACCTTTTGTTCTGTTGGATCTCCTAATACGGTTCTGTCACTGGGATGTGGGTCTTCCCTTTTCAGTTTAACATTGGACACCCACTCCTTTACTCTAAAACCTCCTGTTTCTAAAACTGCATCTATATCTTTCATAATCTTTCTGGCTTCATCTGCTGTATGGACTGATGTACATATATCATCCATATATGTATCCTTGTTTAACACCCTGGCTGCTTCGGGATGCTCTTTCTCACCTTCTTTTGCAGTTTTCCGTAAAGCAGTTAATGCCATGGCTGGCGCTGGTTTATCTCCAAATGTCACTACTTCCTTAACATAGACATCAGGTTGTCTAGTGACATCATAATTTCTCCAAAGAAATCTGTGAACATGCTTATCCTTTTCAGGGATCAGGATTTGGTGATACATTTTTGAGATGTCACCTGATACTGCAACTGCATTCTGGCGAAAGCGGAGAAGTACACCAAACAAATCATTGAGAAGGTCTGGACCCTTCTCCCAATACTCATTCAGGCGATGACCATTGAATGCAGCTGATGAGTTGAACACAATTCTGACTGGTGTACTTTTCTTTTCAGGACGTATAACTGGGTGATGGGAAAGGTAATGTACTGGCCCTTTATACTTCTCCATTTCTTCTTTGCTTAATTTTCTGGAAAAACCTTTCTCTTCCATTTCTTTCATTTGATGGTCATATAACATTGCATTTTTCTCATTCTTCATTAGTCTCTGTTCAATGGATATCAACTTCGCCATACACTGTTTCTTATTGTCAGGAAGCTCTTGTGGGTCTCTTTTCCAAGGATAAGGTACCATCCATCTATTTTCTATCTTTTCACAGGACTGCCACATCTCTTTATATTGTTCTTTTTCTATTGGTGATAACTTTAATTCATCTGATGACTTACACTTACAGCTTTGTATCTTCACTCCCATTTCTTCAGTAGACCAGAATTTGGTCAGATCTGTCATCTCAGTCATTTTTATGTGAAGCACAGTTGTTTCTGGTTGTAAACCGCTTGATGTACCGAATGTTAACCAACCCAATGGTGACTTTCTCAGGATATACCCATCAATTTCTTTTGTCTCTCCTCCATGCATGCCTGGGTAGTCCACTCCAATCAATAAGTCAACACTACCATCTCCCCTGCTTAGCGGATGTCCCAATTCACTTTCTATTTTTCTCATAACTTGCCACTTTGGCTTAGACAGTGGTAATTTCGGGTACACCAACAGCTGATATTGTGTGCTCTTTCTGATTGGAAAATATCTTCAGTTTGTAGATTTTGGTTTGGTGAGCTTGTACATTTCCTCCCAATGTGCCAATGTCAATACTGATAGGCTTTCCTTCAAGGCCAAGTTTCTCTGCTACAGCTCCTCTGACCAATGTTACATTTGCACCAGAGTCCAGCATGATATTACCTATAACATCATTTTCACGTGTACCTATTCTTGCTGTTATAATTGGCAATGCCACATCATTCTTTTTTGACGCTACTGATACAACACTTCCACCTGTTACTGGATGAAGAAGTGAATGATGGAAGAACTGACAGTTTTCTATAGAGCACCGTTTTCTTCGATTGCAAGTTCTCATGGTGTGATTTTTCCCTGCTCTCTTCAAACAGCTAAAGCAAACATGATTTTCCCTAGCCATTTTCAGGCGTTCATCCACTGTTATTGCTCGGATTTTGGTACACTGATCTGGCCAATGGTCGTTTGATTCACAACCCCAACACTTCTTCCATGAAACTGACTTCTGGCGTGTTGAATTATCATTTGAGTCACTGCTTTGTTGTTGACTCAGATTGACTTTACCTTGAGACTGACTACTTCTGACTGGTGCAGTGGCTCTCATTCTAGTCTTCATTTCATCAGTTAAGAAGCTAAGTAGTTTTTCAAGAGAGGCTTCTTCCCCATTATGTTGCAGTTTTCTCGCCCACACTTTTCGGTCATCAGCTGTGAGTTTCATTTCAATAATAGCCAGCATATGATTATTATTGAGGTCAGACTCTTTCCCCACTTGCTTTAATATATTGTAACATCTTCGGACGAGATGAGCTAAATCACAGAATCTGCTATCTTCACCCTCCTTCAATGATCGAAACTTCATTATATCCTGGGTGACTGCATCAGAAATTATTCTTGGGTCCCCATAATACAAGTCAAGGTATTCCCAGCAAGCATCATAGTCTGTACCAATACCTTTTAGCATTTCCAATGGTTTACCAGTTAGACTAGTCCTCAGTATTGAGATGGCATTCCTATCATCATACAGTGGGTCAACCATGTGCCTGAAATCTTCACGAAATGTCCAGTATTCACGTACATCCCCAGCAAACACTGGCAGGTTAGGTTTCTGAATCTTGGGCTCTAATCTAGCCTTATGTTGTATAACTGGTACTACTGGTTGGTTGTATTGATCCGATAACTGTGGCGAAGGCAAACCACTCGATGGCGGTGTTTGGTTTTGTGTGTCAGGACCATGTTCAGTTGGTTGGCCTTGATTGATGACTGATTTAA